TCTACAATGTTACTTTACCATGTAATAACTGTAAAATTATAGACGCATTTTATATTATTCAGTAGTAAGTCTTGAAAATTCAGGATATATTTTATGCACTTATAGTTAATATCCACCTGGATTTGGCCAAGTCTCATTTTAAGTGATCCATAGGTATATGTGGTTAGTGGCTACATTATCAAAGTGCAAAACTCTATTGAGTAAGCGACATTAATCCCTACTTTGCATCATAATTCTATGCATAAATGTGAAAAGTATAATTTGGATACTTTCATAAAAAACAAGGAGTATCTATGATTTGAGTGATAGGCTGAATTTTACAAATATGATATGTAGAGCACAAATGATAAATGAAAGATTACCTATACAGGAAGAAAATATGGAAACAGGAATGAATTTAAAGAAGTAGATTTGAATTTATAAAGAACTCTGACATATTTGTAGACGTAGAGAAATGGTAAATTGATAAATGAACAATTCATAGAAAACTCAATGAGAATTAAATCATAAAAGTCACAATTAAGTCCAAATTAAATCACAATGTATCATTTTATCCCAAGAAACCAGCAAAAATATTCAAGTCTGGGAAAGCCAAGTGTTGATAAGGACTTGGAGTAGTAGGAACCCTTGAACACTGCTGATGAGAAGATGAATTGGCACAGTCACCTTAGAGAGCATCTAACAATGCAATGCCATTTCTAGCACATGCAAACTTCAATGAGAATGTTCATGGAAATGATAGTATCACTAGAAAAGAAGGAGATGCTTGAACATCTTTGCTAGCAGAAAGGGTAAGTTACCTAAGAAAAGATTTTAGGGTGGTTGAAATGAAGTAGATCCACATAAATGAACAGGGCTACATTTCCAATACATCAAAAGGAGGTGAAAAACTCAAACATGGAGTAACGGAGGCCTATGTTTGGTACCATTCCTATAAAACATGGCATCTGTAGGAGCAGTTTAAAATGTGCCAATGAATGGGAAAGAGGAAAAGAGAATGAGGTGAGAGCCTTTAATTTATTCTGAATTCTAAAATTCTTTCAATGTGACACAAGTATGGCAGACATAAAGATTCTGAAGAGCTGAATGACAGTCAGAGGTGTTCATCGGGGGCCTTGTTTGCCAGTAATAGATGAGAGACAGTGTAAGCAGAAGGGATTTGTTACAGGACACCAGGTCCTTCCTGAATCTTGGGGATAATGCCGGTGTGTGGACAGATAGTGTTTCAAGCCAACGTGGCTGTGATTGGCCAGGAGAAAGTAGGGTAAGAAGCAACTGTGGAGGTGTACACACACCTGTGGCCTTGTGCAATTGAAGGGAGATGGGAAAAGGGTGATACTGAGGGTGTCAGGGTGTGGGCAGCGTTCCACCTCTGCTTGAGTGATAATCCCGTGTGACTGATGAGTTGAGCAGGCATTACTTTTCCTGTTTCAAAAGGGAGAAACCCGAAGCTCAGAAATCTTAAAAGCCTCATCTGTGATGGAACCAGGTCTCAGGGCTCCAAACCACAGGATGACTTCTCACCACATGCTCTAAGTGTGGTGAGAGCTGTGGTTTGGTTTTTAATTGGCTGCCCATGTAAACTGTTAAACTCCTATAACTTTTTCACTTGCTACAGAGCAATAAGTGAGGTGACTTATAGATCGAAAGAAGGAACACTCATGGCTAATGTATTCTCATAAATGCTTCTCCAAGATGTTATTTTTTTCAGAAAAGCATTTGCTTCTTTATTCTGTTCCCCTGAACTCTATAGTGAGCATTATCCTGAGAGTGTCTTAACCCTCACAATAGCATCATGGGATAAGAACTTGTATTGGTTCATTTACATGTCAAGGAATGTGAGGCTTAAAAATTAATGTAACTTTCCAAAAGACATACTGTGATTAAGTGATGGAGCTGGGATTTAAACAGGACACTGACCAGGCCCAGAACCTAACCTCCTGTTAACATTGCTCTTGATTCTAGCTCAATGAAGCTACCGTTATCTGTTATCTGTGTATCCTGCTATTAAATTAGAGACTTAGATCTTCAGGTTCTCTAAACTGGGTCATTCTAAGGGTTAACCATTCCTACTGGATAAGAGATGAAAGGACATGGTGAAGGCTACATAACTTAAGGAGGTTTAGTTTCCAAGGAAAAGCCTCTATTTAAGGAGAAATCTTCAAGAACAACTGAAGGGCTCAGATGTTAGGCACAGCTACAAATGACATCTGGGACTAAATGTGTATTTCCAGATTCTCCTGCTTCCAGAATTCGTTCATCAAAATGGGACATTATTTGTATAAGGAATATGCCATTAATTTAGAAAAGCTTGGGGTGCCTACTGTGTGCTAGGTACGGTCCCAGCTATGAGCTGGGGTAGGTAGAGTGGAGAGCAAAGCAGATCAGAATGAGATGAAAGCTTTTAATTTATTCTGAATTATAAAATTCTTTCAATGTGATGGAAGTATAGCAGACAGAAAGATTTTGAAGAGCAGCAGAATGAAAGGCGTGCTCATCAGGCACCTTGGTTGCAGGTCCCTCATGAGACTCATAATGTGGACAATATTACATTACAGTTGGCACTAGACTTACGGGGCTGGGACCTGTGGAAAGACTGAGGGAGGATTGGATGGGTATAAAATATTCTGTGCAGCTTCTGAAAATCTGAACAAATCCCCATTACACTGGGGATTAGGTTTCATAAAGGAACTTCAGGGAGACAGAGAATTCAGACATAGCCTATTTGCATCTATAAAGCATCTAACCAATCACAGACCTCCAAAGTACAAGGTCTGACATGATGCTGTAAACTTAGCAAAATAAATTTAAATAAAAAAAATGTAACAGGATATTGTGAAGCAAACTAGAAGGTGGGAAAGACTTTCTGAACTGCGCTCATGAGATTGTCTATATTTTAGTACCTTCCAGTGGGCCACATTTATCTTTTCCTCCTTTCTTCCTCTCCCTTGAGTGTCAGTGCTCCAGAGAACTCTGAGTGTGGCCTCCCCCACATTTCTGTCAGTCTCCTTGAGTACTCTTACTCAACCCCATGTTTTCAATTACTATCTCTAGTGATTCACTCCCAAATCCATGTCTCCAGCCCAATTCTCAGGAAACGACCCTGCTTGGAAATTTCAATATCTTCCTTTAATCATGTCTAAACTTTCCCGCATCCTCTGTCCCTTCCCAATAACCAGATGTCCTGCTTATATTCTTCCTTTCAGTAAATACTGCACAGTTGTCAAATTAAGCAATCTGAGACCCATCCTGGATTTCTTAATCCAAGCTATAACCTGTCCTTTTCAATTTTCTTTCCTAAACAAAACCCAGTTCTACTTATCTCCGCCTTGCTACCACCCAGTCTAGGCTACCCCCATCTCAGGCTCACAGGGGTGTTTATTTAACTGATTGCCTACATTATTCTCACTACTCTCCAGCTGTTCACATGTTCTTTGCTGGATCTATAATCAAGTAAGTCATCTTTCATAAGTGTAAATCAGATTGTGTAATCTTCCCCCGACATCCATTAGTGCTAAAAAAAAGTTATTAGTAAAAACACCCATGGAATCTATGTAAAGTTAGAATTTAGCGTAAAGTTTCAACGCTTATTTCTCAGCTTTGACAAATATTCTGTGAATATGTAAGATGTTAGCTTTAGGGAAAACTGGCTAAGGAGTATGTAGGAACAATCTGTAGTTTCTTTGTAGCTTTTCTGCAAATATAAATCCATTCCACAATTAAAAGTCTATTTAAAAGGAAAATATTAGTAGCTCACATTCCCCTTATATTAGAACCTAGAATTAGAACCCAGCCTTAACGTGAGCAGTTTTTTCTACCAGGTTCTTCTCATGAGATAAGCCTTATCTACGCCTTCAAAGTATTTAGCGTCTGGCCTATTAATATATGCTTGACAAATATTAGTTGAGAATTACCGACTTACGTTTTTAAAATGAAGACTGGCTATAAATTGGGGATTGTTTAGAGCATGGGAATTTATAAGTCACCTGAATTGGGTTTTCAGCAGAGTGGGGACAACCCAGGAAGCCTTCACGTGTGTGGCATGTTTCTCCCCAATGCTGTCTCTACAAGCCTTCTTAGATTCACCTCCCCTTCCTCTGAAACGTCCTTTTAAATTAATGGAGAAAGAAAAGCTGTGTCCTCCCATTCTCCCACCTATCATGCCGCTGTCCCACATGCCCCAATCACTTGTGAACAATCTAACTGTAGGTTCCTAGAAACTATGGTCTATCCAAGTGACTCCAGCAACAGGGATGTCAAGCCAGGGGAAGCTATGACAGGCTTCCAGATGGTGCAGAGATAGCCATGAGTGAGAAGGCTTCAGATGAAAGCAAGGCAGACAACTTAAGTGCTGGACTCACATTTGAAAAAAGGGGTCAACTGAACCTCATCACACATTATGGAGCCTTGTCACATAATATCCTCTACTAAGTTTGGACTTGGATGTAAGTAGAGACAAATCCTTGTCTTCTAATTCTTTTAACCCATCCACATGTTATATCCTTTCCCCTTTTAAGTTATTACTTTTGAAATAATGGGAAATAACTGTTTACTGATTGCTTTAGATAGCAATTTCATTTAAAATGTTATCCCTGCTTTTTCAAATAAGCCGGCTCATTCTGAAAGTCATGTGCAGCTGGTAACAGGCAGGTCTAGAACTCCAGCTTGGGAGTTTCTGAATTCAGGATCTTTTTTTGCTCCTCTAAGCATCCAAGGGTGATTCTCTCTAAACTCCTTTCATCTCCATGGAGGGCACAAGTGCAACTTGCCTTCTAGAAGGTGAAGTTTGACCTTAGACTCTTATAACCTCAAAGTAGATTCTCTAGAAAGAAGCTGGTGGAGGTGTGGGCCCATGAGATAGGGATGCGATGGGCTAATTTTGCTTTGTCCTGTGGCTTGTCAATGATAGAAAACTTGTTGTCAAATCTCCCTGAAAACAAGATTTTAAAGATTCTCCCCATGCCATCTGTAGACAACAATCCTGTGAACATACTCCAAAATGATAGACAGAAGAATTTAATACATGTAATGTTTTTCCTTCCATGTACACTATCATAAATTACAAAGTATTATTCACTTCACAAAATAAAACCATTTCCAGATAATTTTTTTGACAGTATCAAGAAGTACATAAGCTACAACAAACAAATCTGTACAGTTGGGAGGAAGGCCAGGAGCAGGGAGCAGGCTGAACGCCGCTGACCTCCAGTTGACAACAGAGTCCATCTTCGGGGCCCTGGGGACTTCCCAGGATGACAGCCAGGCTGTGCACCTCCTCCCACACACCACATCACACAGCACATCTCTTCTGGTCACTCCAAAACAAGACTTGTGGGTAATTACATGACTCATCTCAGACAATTAGGGAAAGATCGCGGTTGGATTCTTAAAAAATCTAGATTTACAGTTTTTGATGTTTTAAATATTTTAACTATGTTACAAAATATAGAAATCTTGGTGCGAAAGGCTCATGCTGAGATAAATATAATCAACAGGATGAAACTCAGGTAATAAAATCATACGAACTTATTTTCCATATAGAAGTAACTTTTTTCAAGAATGAACACGTATTTAGCAAAAACCAACCTTACTCATTCTTTTAAAAATAGGTTTGTTTATGAAACGAAAATAAAAAAAGCTAAACATTATTCTGCAGGGTCACTTTCTGTCAATACATGAATGTGTCCAAAATTCAATCTGCAATTAACATGAATTTGGAGGGTTTAGCTGAAAAATGGAAAAGTGCTGATTCTTTTCATGGTCCAGATGTATCCAGTGTCCTCAAGACCATTTTACACAAAATGATCACATTCTGCATGTTTTGGGTTACACAGTTGTTACATGAGAAAGCAGTGACCAATTCCATAATATGTGTTGGAAATTCACAAAAGTTTTATAGAAAGAAAATTTGTGAATGTTTCAGACCACCTTGTAATTGTTATAAACCTATACTACGTTGATAGCTGAATGCCAGTTCTAAAGAGCAAAAACTATCAAAAGCAGGAGCATATGTGGCAGTGAAATCTCATTGAAAAGTACTAATAAAGACAGAGGTATGTCAAGATAATACTGCATTTGTGGTCAAATATCCAGGGCATCACAGAAAGACTGCAGGAAGAGCTACATAGGGTAATAGTCAATGCACTGCATTGAGTTCTGTTTGCTAAAATAAAATAACAGTCTTGCAGCTAAAATAAAAATACATTTTACAATATAGGTTTCATTTAACATTTAACATATAGAACTGTCTTCTTTCTGTAAGTGGAAAATGTATAACTGTATCAAGTACCTTTATGAATTAAGTTCCCTTTTATTACTGATGAGATTGAAACTTGAAGGTCTATATTGTTTTTAATAAGTTAAAGAAAAATTTATTAATCACTCTTCCAGCAAAACAGACATACATACGAGGCACAGCAAAAGACCCGAGGTTGGGGCTCTCTCACCCCCACCCTGTTCTCGTGTGGAGGAGGGCGTGTCTATGAGACACAGTACCCAACTCTGCAATCCACCGTGGTCCAGCAAATTCTGTCACTTGTTTGAGAAACAAATCAAGTGTAAGAACTGTTTTTATTTCTTTAGCTTTATCAGCTAGGCTGGGGCTGGGGCCATTCAGCTCATTCCCTGTTGAATTAAAACAAAACATCTTCGTTTTCTATCAAAATCTGCACAATCAGCTTTTGGTACCGCATGTCGTGGAGGGTTGTAAGTGTGCTGTCCTCGGGTGGTCTCATCAGGGTGGGCCCAAACACAATTCCCAGGTTTTCTGCATTCATTAAATTGTCCTTTTCATTCATAGTAACTCTGAAAAACAGACACAGATACACAGAGACATTGTGTAGATTTGTAGGTGAATTTATACACTAACTACACATTTAAGACTGAAGACCATCACTGGCTCAGGAATTTAAAAAAGTAACTTGAGATCAGAATGGCAGAAAGGTTTTTTTTTAAAAAAGGGTTATTTTCTGACTTGGCTTTCTTTTAAAATTGGTGACTTGCCTTATGTAAATCTAGTACGGATACAATTTTAAAAATTAGATAACCAGTCCTCCTCACTAAATAAACATGGATTATCATAAGGGACATCAGTTTGAAGTCACAGAAGATTACTAGCTGACCTAGGGTGCCATCATAAGTTTTACCTAGAAGTATTTTTTTTCCACATTGCTTCTTCTTGGTCTGCAAGCTAGGAAGTGGGAAGCTTAGAGTGGGTCCCCTGACTGCTGGCAGGGCTGGCTGTAGATGAGAAAGGCTGCTTACAGAACGGGCTGCCATGAGGTGTGATAAGAAGGAGCCGGGCAGTTATGAGGGGACAGGAGAATTGCTGGGATGTGGCCAGATGGGAAAGCAGTTGGACATTATTTCCTGTTACCCTAGGATGAGTTCCGGAGCAGTAGTTATTGTTGGAATTAAAAATCATCTTTTCAATTGCCAGACAAAAACTAAAGAGACTTTAAGAATGAAGTCCAAGCTCCTAAGCTGGCTTACTACTTTTCTGGTAGAATAAAATAGTTATCTCTCAGATTTTCGGGAATTTAGAAAGCTCATCATAAATCTAAGAAGTACAGATTCTCCAAAGAGCTAAAGACAATTAAAATGTATTTCGGTCTTACACAAAGGCTGCCTATTCCCTGAGAGCTAATAAGGATTTGTCACTTAGTATTATTGTAGGAAGGTCAATTCAGTTTGAGTCATTTTCATGCTGCAAAGCTAAGAGGAAGGTAGAAAAGAGGACATTCTTTACTATTAAATGCCTACTTTTTCCTATCAAGTCAGATAACACATCTGACAAAACATCACTAGAAAATTCACAATAGCAACATGAAATTATTGCCATTTACAAATTCATTAGAAAAAAATACTGGCATCTCTCAGATGAGGTACTTTGCCTCCCAAATTGCAACAACTGGACATGAATCACAAAGAAATAAGTAATTTACCACTAATTAAAAGCTTAGTGTACTACTCACTGTCTATTACTTGTTTGAAAATTACTTGAACTTTACTCTTATATTAAATAGATTAATCAAAGTGAGCTATATGTTAGTATCTCTGATCACTGGTCTGAGCAACACTCATAACAAGGCAGAACAGTAAAATCCCCAAACTCAGTGTTTCTACAGCATTAACTTGCTTCTGTTTGCCTACTGAATAGATCTGTAATTTGTACAAAACAGACAACTTTTGGTTCATTTTATCCAAGAATAGATTTTTGCCTTGCATATTCCAGAAACACAGAAAGACACACAGGCATGCATTGATTTCTCCAACATTCAAAGACCAACTCATCAATCTCATTACAAATGCACAGCAAGGAAAGGGATCCACTGTTTAGGGAGGAGTCTAGAGCCAAGAGTCCTCGTATGTTGTAAATATCCCAAAGTCTCCACCTCTGCCCGACGTGGTCCACCTAGATAACTTACTAAGGTAGATATTCTCTCAGAAGGCCCCCACAGTCCTTGCCTTCTCTAAGGTCTGGGCCTAGCAACTGGCTTTGAACACATAAATCAGCAAAAGCCATAGGATGTAACTTCCTAAAAAACAGCCTTTGCTCTGGGACCCTCCTGCTTTCTCCCCTTGAGGGAAGCCAGCTGCTATTTTGTGTGCTGCCTGTGCTGCTGGTGGTACACCTGCATGGTAAACAACTGGGGACACCCTCCAGCATCAGCCAAAGAGGAAGCTGGCCTCAGGATAACAGTCTGCAAGGACTGAACCCTGCCGACCACCAGTGAGTTAATTTAGAAGGGGAAATTCCCTTCCACAAAGTCTTCAGATGTGATTTCAGCCTGGTAGATTTCATGAGGGACCTTGAACAGAAGCCACTGCTAAGCTACAACTTGATTCCTGGCCCATGGTTGAGGGAGATACTACATACTTATTGTGTTAAGCCACAAAGCTTGGGAGCAGTTTGTTCTTTGGAGACAGAGAACTCATACATCAAGAAAACAATAGATCATAGGCCCAGGAGTCTGAGACTGGGGTAAACAGCAAGAGGAAGATAAGAACACATGGGCAGGTGCGGTATGGAGTATGGTGGTTTACATAAGAGTGTGGACTCTAGGTTCACACTTGGTTCGATTTCTTTGGATTAGATATTCAACTTCCTTTGGTGCAGGCCTATATTAATACCCACATCCCATGGCAAATGAATGAGGCAGTTCTCAGCATGGCGTAAGCATTCTAGCAGCTGTGACTGGGACAGGCCCAGGAAGGCAGCACAGTCCACTTTAAATAAAGTGTCTTCCCATTCTGAAGTCAACTTTTCCTCGTGCATTAACTGCCCCAGGGGCAGCTGAGGGGCAGATCAGTAGGTGAGGAGTTGCTTACTTTTTGAGATGGATCATTAGGTAGCGCAGAGTCTCATAGTGAGCGGGAGGCAGTAACATCAGTACTTCATGGACTGCTTCCAGCCTCTCATCTGCATTGGAAATTTCTGTGAAGATCATATAGAACAGATATTAGCACAGAGCTGTGATATTAGAACTGCAGAGAAGTAGCCGTGTCTCTTGTGTCTTGAATGAGGACAGTCTAGTAAATTCATGCAATTTTAGGTACTATTTTGCTAAAATAAATAGAGGTTATCTTGCATCTTGCCATATTCAGAAAGGCAAGAGTCTAAAGCTAAGTACTGTGTGCTTATTGTGTTTCCATGATGTGGGTAACTGGAAGCTGCTGCCTTTTGGGAACTGGCACCGTAGCAGAATGCTTACAGTGAATGAGCACACGCACAGTCTGTGTGTGCTCTTTCTGTCTTCTGAATATTGGATTTGCTGGCGCGCTCACTATCATAAGCTCTACTGTTAATTCTACTACATATGGTGGCATGTGCTGCTAACACTGTCAAATAAGTCCTTCCCTGGAAAGTTTCCATAACCAAACACACTCTGCAATGCAAGGACTTTGGCGGGCAGGCTGGCAAACTCAGTCTGCATTGAAAGTGCTTGTCACTAACGTGCTGGTCAGTCCAGGTTAGAAAACATACCAGGCATGTTAACAATGGCAGGAAGAGTGCATGCATCTGAATCTGGGGTCTCTGATAGCTACTGGCACATACTAAAGGAAAACCCTCCAGCTATTTCCCTTGGGGTGGAAGGTACCAAACTGTTGGAACCTTGTCCACCTAGAGCTACGAGAATCCAGGAAGGAATATTCTCACCAGGGAGCAGGGCCATAGCTCATGTGGAAAACGTGTCATACACAAATCCCAACTCACCCTTGTTTCCTCCAACCAGACAGCTCATTAGCATATCTATACCTATACATTAAAAAAAAAATCCTAAAATTTAAGTTTCTCAAAGTGAGCTTTACTTCTGCAGCCTGCATCTCAGGATCAGAATCTCTCCTTCCTTATCATTATCTTTTCCTGGGGAAAGAGTGGTCTCTTCTGCTGGAAGCCTGCCTGGGACACTCTGCTCACAGTAGTGAACCTACTTGGTGAACACTGAATGAATAACTGTGGCTGATGGTCCATTCCCAGGCTTGTGAGCTCAGCTCTCCACATCTGGCTTTTCTCCTGTATAAAATCCAGTTGTAACATTTGCCTCAGGGGGTAGACCAGAAAAATAAACTAGAAGACACTGGTGAGAGGTCCTCATATAGAACTTGACACAGGAGAAAAATAAACTAGAAGACACTGGTGAGAGGTCCTCATATAGAACTTGACACAGTATCTTTGGCCTTCTATTAATTTTAAATAGCATTACTGGCGAGATTTGGCTGTAACCTGAATGAATTCACAGTGATTGTGCTTGATAGATGAAAGTAGTTAATCTACACAGCTCACCTTGGGGGAACATATAATTTCTTACTATAAAAATATTCACACTTTTAATAAACAGCAGACTAGGGCCGGTTGAGCTTGTTGTCTGCATATGGAGAGCAATAAAGAGACATGAAACTGTCTGGTACCCGACTTCTGTGCACAGAGCTGGCTTAGCATCAGTTCAGCTCTGCTGGGGCGCTCTGCTGGCTTTCTGATGACTACACCACTGTGCCCTTGCTTGACAAAACAAGTGCTCATGCAATAAATTAAACTGTTGTGAGTTTCAAATTTCTTAAGATTGAAAACATGGTACTGAAATGTTTAATGAAAATGAAAAATTAGTGTTTCATACTTACTTGCTGCTTCTATAAATTTGGAATAGGTATCATAAGTGATGACAGGGATAGGTAAGTCCCTGAAGTACAGTTTCAGAGCTCCAGTGATGATGTTTATGTCAGGATAGATGTTGGCAGATATATCTGCCTTTTCTCCATCTGAAAAAATCATTGATCCAAGTTCTAGTTAGGACCTTTTTTCACCAAGTTGAAGCATGCACAGAAAGAGTACTACCTTTCCCACCCAGCAGGAAGTGTTATCTGACAAGTTTCAGCTAACTCTTTTGACTTCTAATGATATTGAGATACAGGAAATAAAAGAAGTTTGGTGAGGGAGGGATAGGGTCTCAGGTACAGGCAGTCACAAAGGCAATGGAATAGACAAGAAATAGTTCCTTGGTAATTTGCCAAATAGAAATTTAGCTGCATAATTCACATGACAGACATAAAGACTCAGAATAACAGCTTTCTGAAAATTTTAAGAAAGCATCAAAGATCTACTACATTTTCAATAACATTCTTCAGCCTTGGGTTTGAAGGTCACATGAACAAAATAATTATTGAACACTTTCAATTTCTACTATGTTTTTTAGGGTCATTGAAGTTATTTCTGAATTTTACTCTTTCTCCCCTGTCCTGGAGGACTTCAATCTGGGAAACTTTAAACTTTTCTCATTTATAGGTAGGTTATATTTCTTACTATTTTAAAAATAATAATTCTCAAGACATTTTTGATTTTTGATTTTGCCATTAGTAAATACCAATCCATTTGAACTATCATAGACTATGAATTATTTTGGATAAAAAGTTTCAACCGTATGAAGACCATCAGCATCTTTTGTGTGGAGAATTAAAAGAACAAATGTCTTAGCAAATTTGGTTTTGAAGATAAAACCATGGATATATAGAAACACAGTAAAAGCATAGTAGACATGTCATATTTACACATTTAGCAAGTATTTATTGAGAATCTACTACATACTATGTAACTCCCTTGTAAATCAAAGAAGAAAAGAGACACCACCTTTGAATAGTTCTAATTAGATTCGGAGTAAGACACGCAACTTAGCAATTACAAGGAAATGGGATGGAGCCAGGTGACAAACACAGAGGGCACAGGCCAATGAATCAGAGCTCGCAGATCAGCTTGGAGTGATCAAAGAAACCTCATGAAAGACAAAACATTCAGTCCCCAGTATAAAAATGTTGACCAGGCAAAAACAGGTACACATTCCTGATGGTCAGGACAATGTGAGCCAAAGTACAACAGATAAGATGTATTTCAGGAGCATTGGAGTATAAAGACTAGTAGGGAGGAGGAACTGGAGAGAATCTGACCAGACTGACAGGGCCAAATCATCCAAGACTTGTATACATGTTACCCAGGGAGACTCCATCCAGAAAGCTAGGGCACCAGGGAGATTTGGATTTCTCATTAGAAACACAGATTCTTGGGCTTGTCCTGCTTTGTTGAATGAGCCCTGAGAATGGTGATCTATGTACTGGTTGGCTAATAACTGAACTAGTGATAACTAGGAGATAATACACACTGGAGACTATGAGTCACAATCACAACTGAACTCCACTGACTTCCCCTCCTTTACAGTGAGGACTCACCAGCACTCTGCTTCCTGCTTTGGAGCTTTGAGAACAGTCATCAGTGGGATCCTGAGATGGGGATGCAGAAGGGTGCACTGGTACCATGTGGACTAGCTGCCCATTCGCACAGTATATAAGCTGACTTCTTCATGTGGCTACCTGTCTGCACCATCTAAGGAAACACGTCTCCCAGAGGCAGAACTGAGAGATTTTTAAAGCATCATTCCTCAGATTTTTGAAACTCTCAGTAGCTCTGAAAGCCTGTTCTCACCATAAATGAAGTCTGAGTCCAACAGAGGCTGCTGAGGGTAAGTTAGATGGCATTCAAGAAGGCACATGCTTACCTCTGTCAAATGCCATCTTGACATCTTCGATGTGTTCTGTGAATCCGGAGACTCTGTACAGGCCTTCCGACTTCAGTCCTGTGGGGCAGAGGGAGGGAGGGAAACAGAGCAGGAGACTTCAACTTCAGTTTCCTGCAACATCTAATAAAAGATTCCAACATCACATCTGCACTATGTGCAATCAGGAAATGAGAAAACATCATTAGTGATCTTATACATCACACACTCTTGCGTCAGAACTTGGACTCGTCAGTCCCAGTTTCCACATGAGCCTGTCTTTATTTGCTTGTTAGGGGTGGAGATCTTGATGGAGAGCTGATCATCTTGCCTGGTTTTGCCAAGGAACCCCATATTTAAGATTCTCATTAATCACAGCCCCTACTTCATTTGTTCATCAGATTGCTGGGTGTCCATTTCACTGTGGGGGTAGCCACTTTCCATTTTCTGAAGCCATGGTTTCTATTGTATGAGGCACTGTGCTAGGTACATGTATGTAATGAACTGGAAAAATCCAAGTTTTATAGCTTTTAGGAGTAACAATAAACAATAAGCTAAATAAGTCAGTAGGATTGATTTAATTGTTATGGCTTTGATCAAACACATGTAGAAAAATACAGTTCTATGTACTGATACTAGAAACTTGATCATTGTATATTTAGGCTAAAAAGGACTTAGTTTTAGCTTCTCAAGCTTACTGATTTATTAAGATATGTCCTAAACCTATCATAATCATATTCACACACACACATAAACACACACAAAATAAACAATATCAGAAGGAATGCAGAATCAGGGTTCAGACCTTGTATATCAAAAACTAACTGCTATCAGAACTGCAGCTATAACAAAAATAAGCAAAGAGTTTCTATTGTTCCATCAGTAGAGTCTGTAAAACTCTTGATAACTAACATATTTCTGTTTATTTTTATTCAAATTTTCTAAATATTTATTGAATGTGTACTATTTGCTGAATGCAAGGCTTTGCATGAGTTTGCATCAAAGACAACAAATGCATGTTGGGCACTGTTCCCCATCTGTCCTTTGGCCATGACAGATGCTCTTAGTTGATATCAGCTGGTTTTCTGAAGACCAGTTGTCCAGGTAGCCACTAATGATCACCAGAAGGGAGTCCACAAGATAAAACCTGGTGTCACCTTTTCTAGATAGTGCTACATAAAGGTTCCTTTCAGCAAAGTGAGAGGACGTACTGATAGAGGTGCCGCCACGGTAGTTACGGGGGGCACACAGGGGGTTCAGCCTCTGCACTTTAGCCTCAAAGGGAAGAGCTTGTACTTTTCCTCTTTTCATTGGTTGCAGTTCAGACAGGATGGTGGCAGTCCTACAGATGAGGGCAGCCCTCAAGCATGACAAGGAACAAGTTGCAGGGCCTGGGTGTCTGGCATTGGGGAGCTGCTCACTAGCCCTGGGCTGCCTCCGGGTACCTGGATTGCCACAGGAAATAAATAGATCTCTATCTTATGGGCAATTTTTATCTTACTGAAGACACTATTATTCAAGGTTTCTGGGACAGTAATGAAACTTATTGGCTATTCAGACAGATCTGGAGATGGAGTTAGGGAAGCTGGTTATTCCAAGAAAAGTTGGAAAAGAGCAGGTCAAGCCCTGTATATTTGGCACTGTTCGAGGTCATTTGTACATGTCCATTTATTTTAATCCTCACAACTACTTTCTAAGGTACAATTTCTTCCACTTTACAGATGAGGGAACAGATAAACTGAAGCAGAGTAAGTAACTTGCTTGAGGTCACGTTGGCAGTGGTGCCGTGCAGCTGAGAATGGGTCAGGTGACTTTTTTCCCAGCTGATTACTAGGTTCTACTTGCATGCTTGGTCCTCTAATGTCTGTAACTACAGTCCCTTTGCTATGTGACTCCTTTGGCATTAGCTCTGAGTTGTGCTATTCAGTCTATTCTATAGTTGTGCTACTGTATTCAATATTTACCAGTGCAGCATGGTTCTTGTCCTTAGCTATCCTCCCTAACTGCAGTGTTTCCCAAACAGCTGGGCCCCAGGCCACACTTGTCCTAACCCCTCATCCAGAGTTGGGACACCTCTCCATTCTTCTAAGCTAGTTAGCCTTTCCATCAGTTCCTTCACCAGATCCAAAGCATCCACCCAGTTCCTTTCTTTTCACTATGGAAGCCATTTTTTACAATGTGAGGTCACGTGAGTCATCCCTCTGTGAACAAGTCACTTTGGCTTTCATGCTACAGATAAAGTCATTTCCTATCTTGAGATAACAAAGCTTGAGATAACAAGCTATGACATCCCCCTTTGTTTTGTTTTGGAAAGAATAAGAGAGCTGGCTAGTGGGTAAATACCTGTGGAATGTATTAAGCCAACTTAGACCAATAATAGCAAAATATAAAATAATTATGGGTCAATTACACAAGCTACAGCCTGCAATCCAAGCTCTCCCCAGACAGATGTGTGTCATTGGACATTTGATGATGAAAAATTGCCAAATTAAAAAAAAAAAAGAAACTAAAGAAAAGGTAATACAAAGTATCTTTTTTTGGAAGGGGGAAATGTTTCTACCTTCCTTGCCACCTTGGTTTTTCATGCATTGATCTTTATACTCTTTTAACTGTGCATCTCAAATAAACAGAACAAAATTAGGGGTGAATTTTTATATGGTAGATAACTTGTGTTATCAATAATTTTAAATTATTTAATAGAAGCACATTTTAAGACCAATTCAAACCTGACCCCATCTTAACCTTAATTGTCCTCAGCTAAGATAAAATATCTTCCTTTGTGATTTCACAGTGTTCGGATATGTGTACCCACAATATATATTAATTTGCTCTTCTGATTTCCACACTATAGTAGAATTTCCTTAAGTTGAGAATGGTGACATTTATATCCTTTGTGTCTGGTACATATGCAATTACTCAGTAAACATTTAGGAAATGAAAGCTGATACTGCTGAAGGGATTCAGTCAACCTCTGTGTGCTTATTTATGTGTATATAGGTCATTTTCCCAACAAGAGTATTACTGTGAGTCAGTTTTTTGGCAATAATGAAAAGAAACCACAAATACTGTAATACTGTAGTAGGGAGTATTTTCCAAACCTCTTGCTTCAATTTCCCGAATGCATATGTCAACCACCATGGGTCTCTGAGTGTTGTGAGCTTTCACGAGAGTGGTGAGGTCACAACAGTACACCTTCTTGATCCTCTTGAGATCAGGCTGGCAGTCGTTGGGAACATGCTTGGAACACTGCTTGTGTACATTCAACCCACAATCTGTAAGCAAAGGAATCACATTAGCCTGGCCCAGTTCCTTTGTCAAAGTCCAATGCAAATTATATATTATCAGAAATAAAAATAGCAACATCCAAGGCTTTGGCAAAATCCATGCCATTTAGAAGTGATATATTCCACAAGGTGAGTATAAGATTCACTTCACTCACTAAACCTTTACAGAACTGCATTTTTCTTGTTAATTTTTCTCTTTTGATTGACCCTAAGAACAGGACATTTTGTTGAGAATGTTTTCCTTTTCAGGTTTAGAGTCCTTTGGGCCCACAGTAGGCTTTTACTTGGGTTTGGGCTCTCAGAAGTAGACATGGCTCATCCAGGGCTCTAGGATGCATGCTAGCTCATTTCTATAAGTTTTTGATGTTCCTCTGTGAAAGACATTGTTACTTTGGCTGCAGGAACCTCTAATCTTTGCTTCAAGGAACCTCTGAGTTCCTGCACCCTCTGCTTTTCCTGGAGAGTTGCTCATAGTTCCCAACCCCTTTTTACTTGCTGGACAGGTAAAAGAAGACATTTTCCCTTCTCCATGCCTTAGTTTGATATCTGTGGGTGGAATAAAGGTCTAATTGCACACCAGTGGAAGCGCCTGAGAGTTTATAACATAACAATGTCACATAATACGATGATTAGAATCATGATTTATAAAGCTTACAGCAAGATCCAAAGCTGAAAAGCAGTTTTTAAGTGCAGACAGCAGTTGTTGGCACACTTGTTAGCAATTGGAATGCACAGACAGAATTCTCTAAAAATAAAATGGCACAGTCTACATTTGAGAAAATAAAAATTTAACATTGCGTGTATCAAAGTTGATGTGCTTTTACTCAATTTCTTCTAATATTGTTTTTCCTAGCTATAAAGAACATTTTATACATATACCATGCATTTACAATAATGAATATTATTGCTAGCTGCTTTACAAAAAAGCACCAGTCATACCAGAGATTTGAGAGAGGATCTAACTGTCATAAAATCGTCATTATTTCTGAGGAATTTTCAGGTAATATTTCCTGGCTGAATTCTCTTTATATTTCTTCCAAGGATCAAAACAAGTTCTGATATGTTTTAGCCTTATCAACATGATAAATTCTACAAAATCCAAGTAGAATTAATGTTTTGAAAGATCTACTTGGTGAGTGTAAATTTTGGCTAACCGTCCTAAATAGAACTGGCAGGTGTCTTTGCTTGGATCCTCTTTTATAAAATGGGACTCATAACAGCATCTACCTTGTAGGATGAGCACAAAGACCCAATTTAGTTGTGCTTGGCACAATATCTGAAATATGGGAAGTACTATAATAAAGTGTTGTCATATAAAATAAGTAACACACTTGGTGACAGAAAATATTGAGGCCTGCTTAGATATTGAGTCATTTCATTGGTAATTTTAAATTGTGTCTTACAACCTTTATTTAAAAATTCCTGTAAGATTATAGTAAATATGCATACCAAAATTTACTGTTTTGCTTATTTTTAAGTGTTCATTAAATTCATTAATGTCATTGTACAGCCATTACCACCCTCTGTCTCCAGAGACATTTTTCATTTTGCAAAACCGACACTTTATACCCATTAGAACAGAAACCTCTCAGGCCTCCCCTGGTCACCATTGTGCTTTCTGACGCTATGAAGTCAACTTCTCTGGGAATCTCATAGGAGTGAGTCATACTGTACTTGTACTTTTGTGACTGGCTTATTTCCCTCAGTACAATAACCCTCAAGGGTCATCCATGTGATATCATGTGTTAGAATTTCTTTTTAAAAATTTATATATTTTTAGATATGCTCTAGAATCACAGGTAAGAGGTTCTATTGGTGTTACAACAGATCGTATTCCTTCACTTTTGCCTGCATGGTCCAGAAGTTCTTGAATTTCTTCCCTTTATAAGGCTGAATAATATTCCACTATACGTCTCATCATATTTGTTTATGCATTCATCTACTAGTAGACACTTGGGTTGCTTCTATTTTTCAGATATAATAAATAACACAGAATGGAGGACATGGATAAGCAAATTTCTATTGGAATTCTGTTTTCAGTTTTTTTGGACATATATATGGAATTCTTGGATAATATTATAGTTCTATTTTTAATTTTCTTAAAAATGTCATTTTTAAGATCTGAAGCAATAATATGTTTATCCATACAGAGCTAAATACTGGTATCTTATTAAATTAACATGCTTTGTAATAAGTGTAAAAATATTTATCTTTTACAAATTAATAGAATTTCATGTGCTGCAAATAGTCTAGAGCATTGAAAAAGTTAAAATATGGAGAACCAAGAGCAATGATATCTTTTCTTAATCTTTGATAATTATTTTTCAGCCTTCCTGCTCTTGGAAGGAAATGCAGGCTCAAAAAGTAGCTATTGGAGAGAAGTAACAAAACAAATCAAAACAAAAAAAGAAGGCTTACATGGGTTTTATTTTTAAAAACAGAAAAAAAAAATCCCAAAACCCTTTCACCCCAGAGAAACTTGCTGATCACAGCTAATGTGATGTTCAGAGTTTTGTTCTCATAATATTGACTTTGGACCAATTTTTCGCTGAAATTGAATAATACCAGCAATATGGGATATTTTTGGTACGCATAATCTGGACAGGCTGAATTGATGACCATTGAAAAATTCAGGTACTCAGTCACGGTATGCAATGGTTGAGCCATGAGATATTTCCTAGCAAATCAGTCTTGTGTATTAATTAGGGTATCTGGATACTTCTAGAGAGGCTGCCTCTCAGCCTGAGTTTGGTACCTGTCTCAGGGACCTGTGATGGGGAAGAAGACTCATCCAGTGCTCATGAGAATCCTTGACTCATAGTGCAACTAACAAAGCCCCTTGTAAGCAGAAAGCATGGAGGCTGTATAACTCTGTGACCCAAAACAAGCGACACGAGAGTGATGATCATCTTAATGTAAAATCACATTAGCTGATTTTATTTTAAATGCTTCACAATAATTATTTTTAAAATGCTACTCTACAAAGGAGGAAATCAATCCAGGAATTGGTGAGAACCTCATCAATATCAGAGGCGGCTATTTTTGCTTCTAGCACAACAGCTTGCCAGAAAAACCAAACCAAAAAAACAAGGCAGGATGAACTAGGAAGCCCAGTTAATATATTATTTTGACAACCCTTCGTCATTTTGCTCAGTGCACGTTAAGAATGTGTTCTTTGTGTGTTAGTAATGGATGTGTGTGCAGAGATCTACGTGGAACAGCAGTAAGAATTTGAAAATAAGTGATTCTCAAAGTAAGGTGGGTGGTTTCACTGCTGACCTGATGCCAGAAAAATGTTGAGTGTGGACTCTGGAGTCCCACTGCCTTTGAATCAGCGCTCTGTGACTTACTATGCAGCCAAAGGCAATTAACAATTATCTCTGAGACTCCATTTCCTTTTTCATTTAATGGGAAATAACTGCATCTTCCCTAAGGTCTGTTAGTGAGGCTGAATAGTTTGATAAATAGAAAGTGCTTAGCCTGGTGCCTGTGGCAAGTGTTCACCATTATTATTATTGTTATTATTATTATTATTATTATTATTATATGAATTTTCAATGTCTGCCTTTTGTAGTAAGATGGAATGGGCAAGGAGTGTGGCTTTTCCACCTATAGAATTTCACTAGAACTGATTTTTTTTTTTTTAAGTCCACTACTGACTATTTGGGAGGGCAAGCAGGTCTTAAGAAAATATAATTGCATACTTATTTTTGAATTTCTTTCCTTTCATAAACATGAAATACTTTTTGTTGTTGTTTGCAAACACTTGGCATCTCTGTTAAGCAGAGACTTTCACATTCATCTGGGCAGAGTCCTCATCTCTGGAAAGATGCACCCTAGTTCAATGTAGAGCACTCTAGACATTTCAAACAGGAGAAAGAAAGTTTCACATCTACCTGAGCACCGGACTCCCTGTGCGATGAGTCCCCACATGAAATTGGCACAGTATTCACACCAGTGTGGGCCTCGGAACGTGTGGACCTGTGCTCCAAAAAGAAGCAAAGTGTCAGAAAATGCAGTTATATGGGGGTGGGTGACTGAACATGAAACACACAAGTAAAGTTAACAAACACGGGCCTTAGCAGGAGTGGCGCCTCCCCGGGCCCTTTCCTGTCAGAGAGGCAGAGTTCTAAACAGACCTGGAGCAAACAGAGATGTACGTTGATCTTTGAAATTCTCCATGCATCCACCATGCCCCAGTCAAAAAGGAATATAGAGAAACAATGAGCTTACTGGGACATGCCATCAGTGAAAGAATGTGATGCTCACACCCCCAAGCAGTGTGCACAAACTCAAGCTAGTCCAAGCTGATTGTTACAACCTACATTTAGCTTTGCAAGTCTTGAAAGGCAGAAAACTCAATTACTGCGATCTTTTAATTGAAGTTGCTCCATCTATGTGTAGTGTATCCAGGCAGGTATAAATAGGACATGATTATGGCATAATTAAAAGATCCAAGGCTTTGAGCCACTTCCAAAGACAGACATTTAAGTAATGTTAAGAACTCAGCTGAAATCACAGACTACCAATGGAATTGCCTTCTCCAGAGACAGGGTCGGCATTCAGCAGACCCTGGGTTGGCTTTTTGGGGAGTAAGCTGAAAGTCCCTCCAGGTTGGTTGCAGGACTGCTCTCATTGGTGCCCCCAGACAGTTGTTCCAGTTATCACATGGGAGGGCAGTCTTTGATACCCCGATATAGGTCTTCCTGTGATAAGGTCATGCATCAAGTCATAAGTGAGAAACAAAGCAAAATAAAAATAATTGGTCTGAAAAAACTTCAAGATGCAGAAGTGGGGGATTCCTTTGATTGTAAATGTGACCGTGGCAGGCCAAAAAGCATTGCAGAAGTGTATCAGAGGCATACAAATCTACATGAAAAAGTTTACAAAATTAAAATCAAGTTTTACAAAATTAAAATAAGATATTATCTAAAGTGCTTAAGAGCTTTAAACCTTAACGAAAGAAAGAAATGCAGACAATGTTTTTCAAACAGATCAGGAGGCCTATCTACAACTTTGTAACACCAAAATTGGTTTGACAAATATGGTCACTATTTGACCACATTTATTACATTATTTCAGCTCAATTTAAGGAAAAATAGCATCACTGTGATCTCCTTGTTTATGCAGCCTAGTTCTTGGATGGATATAAAATAGCAAACAAGACAAAGCTGGTTCCCTACTAATGGAACTCTCAGGTGAGCAAAGATAGAGAAGGAAAGCAAGCTGATCAATTAAAAAGAGCAACTGATAACCATGTTTCTGTGTAATAAAACTAAATTAGAATCATCTACTGGTATTTTAGCTTATCACATGCAAATCACTTATTATACAGTTCGAAAAACATGCTGATAAAAATAACCCTCTCAAAACTGTGTTTTATATAAATCAAGAAATGTCCCGAGTCGATATGGCTCCAACACATAACAACGCTCACTTAGCAGAAATGTAGAGAATCCATCCCAGGAGCGCTTGCATTCTCACAGGCACAAATGCCACGATTCATCTAGAGGCCCAGAGACTGGACTTAACAAAAGAACTCCTCATAAAGTGTCTTATTAAAAGTCAAATATTTTCTAAATTCAGCAGTACTTAATATTTTCCTAGAAATGTTCTAATGTGAGAGTTCATTTTGATAATAAATTCTGTTAAAACTATAGTATTGAAATTTCTGTATCTATTAAATATAATAGAAATATATCAAATATAATTGAAAAGAGAAAAGTAATGAAACCAGTAAAAATTAAGACAGGAGAAAGAAGAAGCAACTAAAAACAGTGGATATAATTTTAAAAAATCCTTTACAGTGTTGCCTGGTAAGTACAAGTTCCTAAGTTTGATTCCAGATTACAAAAAAAAAAAAAAAAAAAAAAAATCCTTAAGGTTCTACAAATGATTTTAACTCATTAAAAGAAAGAGATTTTTCAAGTCGTTTTCAAAATCTTTACAAAAAACATTTAAAACATAATGAGAGAACCATTTTAAGTAAAAACACATTTAGCAAATGCTAGCCAAGAGATCAAATACACATAATTTGATTGTTATTGATAAATGTGATCATAACATGGACATTAATTTTTTACCACAGAAACTAAGTAACTTCAAGCTTTTACATATATGAGCCATGGTTTCAAAAAATATAAAGAAGAAATGGAAAGAATTTCAAAGGGAAATTGACAAATCCATAATCATAATGATTTTAACACCAAACTAACAAATCAAACAGCTAGAGTTAATATACTGACTAGGAAAGGCACTTCAGATCCAGCGCACATCCTTTTCAAAAACGCTTGGAACATTTACATAGGCTGACTGCAAATCAAGCCTCAAAATATACAGCAGACTTGACATTGTATTACTGAATTTTAACTACAGTGCAATAAAGTACAATAAACAATAATAGATTGCCAAGTCCCAGTATGTTGTAGCAATACATTTGGTACCAGTGGGACACAGCAGAAAGGTCGGAAACCAAATTACACATAAACAGAAAGTGAGGACGTCTAGAAAGGGGCTTATAAGTTAGTGGAGGAAGGGTGTTGAGAGATGAATCATTCCCTATTTTATTTAGGGCTCTCTGCCTTTCCATCACCTCACTCTTTCCTCATTTATCTGATACATATGCGCTGACTGCCACTTTAAAGCTGACCTTGTACCCCTCTTTGGACAGACCAAGTTGAGAGAGATCACAGTACCACAGTCTGCAGACATTCAAGAATCTCAGTGTCTGTTAGAATAAGTGGGCAAAAGGTGATACAACAGAACATGTAGGAGATCCTCTAGTACGATAAAGGACAGACTAATATCTTCTTCCCAGAAAGTCAGCGGAAGTGATTTTGAACTAGGTTTTGAAGGATGGAAAGAAGTTCACTAGACTGGAAAAGATGAACTGGTAACAAGCAGTGGTGTTGACGGGGGAGCAAATGACTCGGGAACACAACCACGGGTGAATGAGATTGATAAAAGCTCTTTCACATATGCTAATCACGGATTTTCTAAAATTGCACTTTTGGTTATATTTTTAAAAAATAATTGAGCGCATAAAAATTGCATTCAATGCAATGTTAGTTCTGCCCACCATTACCCACATCCTTTCCTGAAAAGCATCCCCACTGCCTTTGGTCTTATTTCTGCAGCCAAAAAAAGTACTGGTAGCTATCATCAGCCACCAAGTCACTCCAAGTTTCCCTGCTGAGCCCCAAAGAAATAATACAAAATGGGAACAGAGGGGAACATAAAGTTAGTTAAACATTATTTTTGGCCCCCTTCCTAATTTCCTTTCTGGGATGGGTCATTGTTTATTTTATTTTCATGACCAAAATATTGTTCAGTTTTCTTCTTCATCCCCAAGACAGTCTTGAATAACAGATCCCATGAGAAATGTCCAAGGCGCCCTCTGAGCCCATCTGATTTGGAATTGCCTTTATCGTATTTGTTCTCGCAAAGAAATGCCCCATATCTTAAGTCACCGACTAGTTTTTTTTAAAATGAAGTTTATTGATTTTCAAGAATATGTTTTTAGAGAAAGAACATTTTAACAAACTTTAGAGCAGTAACTAAAATACCCCAGACAGGAAGAAAATACTCCAGACAGGAAGAATGTCTGTCCCAGACTATTATGCTGGGCATGGTCTGCCTGGAATTAAAACACACACACACACACACACACACACACACACACACACACACACCCCAAACAAAAGTCAGGGGATAAGGTATGTTTGACAAACGGCTCAGGAATGGTCATTTCCTAAAAACAAGTCAGAAGAGTTGTCAAAAAAAAAAAAAAATCCCCAGTGTATGGCAAGTACCCACGACTTGGCTCTTTCTAAATGAACAGGATGTTATTTGTCTCGCATCTGCTGAATCTGGAAGGCAGTATTCTCTAGCGGGTTTTGTAACAAATATGTTTTGATGGGTCAGTGCAGACACCACACAAATACACTATCAGCTTATCCCAGGACACACGGTGAGAAAGTGTTATTTATGATGTGTTGCGGTTGATAATTTTTGCTTTTTCTCAACAGTTTACATTAGGGAATCTTGACCTTGCCATGGCTAACATTTTGAGCCAGAAAATTTTTGGTTGTGTGTATGGGAGTGGGTGGCTGTCTTGTGTAACCTAGGATGCTTTGTGGCTTCCCTGGCTCCTATCCACTAGATGCCAGTAGCACCCCTTAGTGGGGACAAACCAGAAATGTCTGCAGATGCTGCCACATGTCCCCTCCCTCTCATGTGTGTGCAGAAAGTATCCTGGACTGAGAATCATTGTTACAGCATGAAACTGTATTGCTTCAGTGTGTTATTTTGATCATTCATATTAAAAATGAGAATTTGATTCTTCTGCTTTGTTTTGAAAAGCACTCTTTGGGTGAAAGGCAGAATTCTTGGCTACTTTATGTATATAGAAGAGGGGTCTGGAGATGATAAAAGATACTTCCGGCTACAAGGTGCTGTGTTGGGGGATCGTTTAGCTCTTTCCTGCAGTTCACTGTGGGGTAAGAGGCAGGTAGCTTGTCATCAGTCACTCCAAAGGCCAGCAGCATAGTCAAGGCCCCCAACTGTCTGGTGAGCGTTTCTTCTGTAAACTACTGTTTCCCACAATCATGTGCCATTTAACTCACTTGGGAAATTAGATTAAACTTTGGACTTTCCTGCTCTTAGAGGATCAGATGAAATACTGACCTGGAAGTGAACCTTTTCAGATATAACCAAACCTCAGAGGGGAATTCTTCCATCCGAAACAGAGACTCTGTGTCTGTCCCCTCTGCCAGGCCTGCAGAGCAGCTGCTGCGGAAGGGTTCTGCACGGTGGCAGCATGGAGCCTTGGGCGGTCCACAGCAGCTGCTCTAGTGCGTTTAAAATGGGATTCAGGACATGATCCAAAGGTAAAGTTCAAGAAAGGCTCCATAGACTTTTCTTGTTTGACAAAGCTACTGAAGACTGATGACAAACTCCTTCAGGAAGCTCCCAGTCACAAG